GATGGCTCGCAAACTGGTCCTTGCTCAGCTGCGCCAGGAGAGGTGAAGTTTGGGGCACTTGGAAGTGGATTGGAGGATGGTGGGGGGCTTTCAGGTGTTAGTTGTTGGGACCCAAAACAATAGGAATGAGTAGGGATGGGGTGAAGGAGTCAGGCAGCTGGGTGACCCCTCTCCCACTCTGTCTCAGCCACCTCCCAGCCCCGCCGACCAAGGAGCTGAGCCTTGAGTTGGAGCAGCTGCGGGAAGAGCGGAACCGCCTGGATGCAGAGGTGCAGCTCAGTGCCCACATCATCCAGCAGGAGGTGGGCCGAGCCCGGGAGCAAGGTACGCCTGGCCGCCTGGCCTGGGTCCCTGTCTTCAGCTGGGACAGAGGCGGCGCGCTGGGGGCTGCAGGCTGGGGGCGCGCTGGGGGCTGCGGGCTGGGGCCGAGGACATAGAGAAGACCGAGGCATCCTGAGCCCACCCCTTCCCAGGGGAGGCGGAGAGGCAGCAGCTGAGTGAGGTGGCCCAGCAGCTGGAGCAGGAGCTGCGGCGGACCCAGGAGTCCCTGGCCAGCGTGGGGCTGCAGCTGGATGCGGCTCGCCGGGGCCAGCAGGAGAGCACGGAGGAGGCTGCCAGTCTGCGGCAGGAGCTGACCCAGCAGCAGCAGGTCTACGGGCAAGGTGAGCAGCAGGGAAATGGGCGTGGAGGGGGGTCCATGAGCCCCAGCTCCCCGACACCCCATGTGCACCTTCACCCAGCTCTGCAAGAGAAGGTGGCGGAAGTGGAATCCCGGCTGCGGGAACAGCTCTCGGAAGCGGAAAGGAGACTGAACGAGGCCCGGAGGGAGCACGCCAAGGCTGGTGAGGCTGGCGGGGCGGACGTGGGTGTCCAGGAAGACGGAGGTGTGCAGGCAGGTCATTTTAGAGGCTTTCCGTGGAGCTCCCTGGAAGCATGCGGGTGACGGAGTGACTAGGGAACGGCCAGCTGGCTTCTTGGGCAAGCACCCCGATAGCCACCACCCTCCTCAGAGGCGACGCCCCTCCATGCCTCCCCACCGAGGAACCCCAGCTCTTTATTAGGAAAAATAAGGGGGGGACAGTCCTGGGACGAGCGCCTGCATCGTCCTGCGCCTCGACCCAGCCCTCACTCACCTGCCACACTGGTCTGCACACACCACCAGACTCATTTCTGGGGAGCCTGTGAACTCAAGCATCATGGTGTTGACCTACCTCCTACAGAGAGGAAAGTGTCCCACAGAGGCTCAGCGCCATCGCCACACTGATGAAAATGTACATTTGTTGGACAAAATGTCATACTCAGTCCATATCCAGACTTGCCCTCGGTTCCGGAAGGTTCGGGTGGGGAGCAGATTCACAGGGTCCTGGAGCAGCACCGCTCTCCCTGTACAGAGGGGCGGCCACCGGGCTCCGCCCTTCACCCCAGGCTGGTTTCCACGGTGCCGGGCGCCCTCCGGGAGCCCACACCTGCCCCCTGTCCCCCAGTGGTCTCCCTGCGCCAGATGCAGCGCAGAGCCACCCGGGAGAAGGAGCGCAACCAGGAGCTCCGGCGCCTGCAGGAAGAGGCCCGGAAGGAGGAGGGGCTGCGGCTGGCCCAGCGCCTGCAGGAGCTGCAGAGGGACAAGAACCTCCTGCTGGTAGGGGAGCGGAGGCCGGCTGGTGGGGAGTAGAGGCGTGGAGAGGAGGGGGAGGCTGCCCTGCTAGGCGGTGTTGAACCCTCTCCTTCCCAGGCCACCTTGCAGCAGGAGGGTCTCCTCTCCCATTGCAAGCAGCAGCGGCTGTTGGCAGTTCTTCCCCCCCTGGATAAGGAGGGGTCTGTGCAGCCCCGCCCTCGGCCGGCAGGGCCGCCGGCCCCTCCAGCAGCAGCAGCGCCTGGCCCCAGGGCAGCCACTAAAGGTAGTGTCTAAATGGGAAGAGAGACAAGGAGAGGGGGTGCACTTCTGGAATCTCCACCCCACACACTCCGGTGCATGAGCCTTGTTCTCTGACCCTTTATTCACATCTGCCATGGACCTGAGCAGCTCCTCCCTCAACCCCCTGTCCTTCCTCCCCCCCCCCCCTCCCCAGGGGCAGCCCTGCTCCTCTGCACAGGACCTCATGGCCTTCTCTTGTCTGGCTCCCATCCCCTGGTCTTCTTTCCCAGAATCCCTCTCCATCCTGCTGGATGACCTGCAGAGTCTGAGTGAGGCCATTTCGGAAGAGGAGTCCGCTTCTCAAGGAGACAGCCAGAACTCTCCCGCAGCCAGGCGCGCGGAGTGCCTGGGTGCTCAGGGGCCCAGCAGGCCGGGAGGAGCGTGAAATGGGGTGAGGTTTGGGGGCCTGCCCTCGGGGATACCAGCCACCAAGGTGTCTGGATTCTGTGCCTCAATAAAGATGACTAAATAGCCCTAGCCGGTTTGGCTCAGTGGATAGAGCATCTGCCTGCAGACTGAAGGGTCCCAGGTTCGATTCCAGTCAGGGCACAAGCCTGGGTTGTAGACTCCATCCCCAGTGTGGGGCGTATAGGAGGCAGCCGATCAATGATCTTCTCTCATCATTGATGTTTCTCTCTCTCTCCCTTCCTCTGAAATCAATAAAAACATACATTTAAAAAGATGACTGCTTCTGATGGAGGCCCCGCCCGTGGACGGTGTGAGGCCGGTCTTCCCGGAGTCGGGTTGCTGGGGAATGCAGCCCAAAGCGGGTGGTAAACTCCATCTAAGGGTAAATACCGGCACGAGACCGATAGCCAACAAGTACCGTAAGGGAAAGTTGAAAAGAACTTTGAAGAGAGAGTTCAAGAGGGCGTGAAACCGTTAAGAGGTAAACGGGTGGGGTCCGCGCAGTCCGCCCGGAGGATTCAACCCGGCGGCGTTCAACCGGGCGGCGGCGTCCAGCGCGTCGGTGGTCCCGGCGGATCTTTCCCGCGCCCCGTTTCTCTCTCCCCTCGCCGTCCCCTCTTGTTCCTTTCCCCTCCGGGGGTTGGGGCGTTGGAGAGGGGCTCGGGCGGGGTGCGTGGGGGTGCGGGCGGGGCCGGGGGTGGGGTCTGCGTAAAAAAAAGAAAAAGATGACTGAATGGAGCCGTTGCTCGGATGAGTTGGGTCTGGGATGCTCCGTGCACTGCCGCTGGAACGAGGAGGTCCCACACAGGTGCCTTTTCCAACCCCCCTCCTCGTGCTGGGGAGCTGTTTGAGCAGCGCCAGGTTTCTTTATTCTCTAGGTTCCTCTGGAGCGATCAGCGCCAGAGTGAGGATAAACCTTCACTCCGGCAGGCAGGGCCCCCCTCAGGGCCCGGGAGAGCCGATGGACCAGTGCCCACTGAACAGCCAAGTGCTGGGAGAGCAAAGGAAGGAGGCCACGTGACGGGCGCCGGCGGGGGACGCGGCTGGCCCTGGGGGAGCATTGAGGGGCGCTGCAGGGCAGGCTGGAGGCTCACCCTGAGTCTGCAGAAAGCCCTCAAGCACTTTTATATTTAATAAGATTTTTAAAAAATATATATTTTATTGATTTTCTTACAAAGAGGAAGGGAGAGAGGGATAGAGAGCTAGAAACATGGATGAGAGAGAAACATCGACCAGCTGCCTTCTGCACGTCCCTATCAGGGATGTGCCTGCAACCAATGTACATGCCTCTTGCCGGAATTGAACCTGGGACCTCTCAGTCCGCAGACCGACGCTCTACGGCTGAGCCAAATCGGTTTCGGCAAGCACTTTTATATTTTAAAAAAATATTTTTATTAATTTCAGAGAAAGGAGGGGAGACTGGGGATCAAGCCCGCAATGTGGGAATGGAACTGTGACCTGGTTCATAGGCTGATGCTCAACCACTGAGCCTGCTCTCTGTGCCTGAGTACTTATTATTATTTTTTTAAGTAAATATTTTTACTGATTTCAGAGAGAGAGGAAGAGAGAGAGAAACATCAATGATGAGAGAGGACCACTGATTGGCCCGAACCTGGGCCTGTGCCCTTGACCGGACTCAAACTGGGAGCCTTCAGTTCGCAGACTGACACTTTACCCACTGAGCCAAACCAGCTAGGGCTTGAGTACTTTTTAAACAGGGAGGCAGTTGAGGTTTTAAAGCCAGGTGGCTGGCTGTGGGTGTGCGCCGGATGAAGGGAGCGGATTAGGCTGTGGCGATTGGGGATGGGCGGCCCGGAGAGGTGGGTGTGGGCCGCCGAGGGACAGTGGTGCCCTGTGCTCAGGGGAGACAGGTGGGGAACTACTTGGGGAGGAAGTGAGCTCTGTTTGGGGCACATATTTCTCACGGGCAGGCCAGGACAGGAAGTCCCAGCAAACAGACTCAGAAATAACCACCGAGTGACCTAAAGGGTGAGGGGGGAGTGGGCAGAGTGGGAGCCAAGGGCAGGAGGGGGTGGAGGCATGGGAGGAGGTCCGGAGGGAGGAGGGGAGGCTGGAATGATCTAGCGAAGGCACTGAGGTGGAGAAGGAATCAGGAAGTCCTCACCCTCCTCTGGGCCTGGCCTGGCCCCCAGGAGGGAATCCCTGGAGGCCCCACCCCTAGATGAGGGAGCGCTCCGAGCAGCCCTTGGTCCCGAGGGAGAGGAACTTCAGGGCAGGCCTGAGCCCCAGGGGAAAGCTCAAACAGTGGAGGGTGGGGGCTCTCGCCCACTCACGCCCTCCTGGGTGCATCCCAGGCATCCAGGGAGCGGCCCTTCCCAGGCCCGCCTCAGCCTGGAATCCCGGCCCAGCCTGCTCCTCCATTCTTGGGCCTCAGCCTGGAATCCCGGCCCAGCCTGCTCCTCCATTCCTGGGCGTCTTGGCTTCGAGGAATGAGGCACGAGTGCCTGACTGGCCATGACAGTGGAGCCAGAAAGGAGGGCGCCAGCCTTAGAGGCTACACGTCAGCGTGGCCTTCCAGCCGTGTTTGACCGGTTACTCTGATGGACTCCTGTGTCACTGGGCTGGCCCCTCCCCAGAGATGGGCCGCTCCCTATAAAGCCTGTTGGGGTTCCGGGCACCCAGGCTCAGCCCACCCCTGACATTGGAGCCAGGAGACAGCATGATGCTCCACTGGAAGCTGCTGGGGACGCTGCTGCTGGGCCTGTGCCTGTGCCTGGGAGGTGTGCTGGGACAGGCTGTGCATTTGGGGAGGGAGAAGCAGGCGGCTCTAAGAAGGAGGGGTGAACTGGATGCATAGGGATGAGGGGTTCTGGGCGTTTGCTTGAGGGGAAGAGGTAAGGGATGTGAGGTGGGTGTAGCTCAGGGCGCGTGTCTTGCTGGTTGGGAGGTAGCTCCGTGTGGCCATTGCACTGAGTCCAGTGTGTGGAGCTGAGGGCTATGTGAGGGAGCGTGGAGGCCGGGGGCCACTTGGGGGCTGCAGACCAGTGTAGGGGCCAACCAGGGATGACCCAGTCAGGGCTGGATGGAGCTTACGGGGGGTCCTTTCATTCAAAGGTCACGTTAATGTTTGGGACAGTTTTCGTGTCAGTTTAAGGTCACTCGGTGGTTATTTCTGAGTCTGTTTGCGGGCCGCTCAGGCTGTGGTGTGTCCCTGCTGCTGGCTGGGTCTGGCGCCGGCCCGCATCACCTCTCACCTTTCTCCTTCCTCCTCCATAGGCATCTCAGGCAGTGGAGACCACTCCTCCCCCCCACCCACAGCGGCTGGACAGGAGGAGGGCTCCCCAACATTGCCTCAGGGTGCCCCCATCCCCGGGGACCCCTGGCCAGGGGCACCCCCTATCTTTGAGGACCCTCCGCCTCCAGGCCCCAGTCATCCCTTGAGAGACCCGCCTGAATCTGGAGTCTGGCCGCCTAAGCCTCCTAGAACTGACCCCCCTAAGCCCCCCCGGCCTGACGACCCCTGGCCAGCAGGCCCCCAGCCTCCAGAAAACCCCTGGCCTCCTGCCCCGGAGACGGACCACTGGCCTCAGGGGGAGCCAGGCCTTGACCCTCCCCGGGATGAGCACTGATAGCCGCCCAAGCCATCTCTACCTCCTGCTTCCCCTGAATCAGCCTAACCCTTCTTCCTCCTCCCTCTCAGTTGTAGCTCAGGCAGGAGGGTGCCCTCAGCACTTCACCGCTCCTGAGAGCATATTTAGCGCCCGCACCCCCCTCTGTTTTCTCTGACGCGTGTGCACACACCCTTCTCCAGTCCAGTCCTCTCTTATACTTGCCCCTTGCCCCGCTTCCTGGGTCCCCTCACTGCTCTGTGCTCTCTGCTGCCACCTGGCGGCTTACATTAGAAACTCAGGCAATGGTGGTGCTTCTGTGAAATGGAAAAATAAAAAGCATGTTTCCTTAATTTTGAATCGAGGTTTGATTCTTTGCCAGTGATGAGGTCAGTCCTCACAGCCACACCCCACGGACATTGGACATAACTTCAGCTCCTGGCTTGCCATGTGCTCCAGGATGTGGGACTCAGACGCAGGGCGGCTGGAAGTGTAACGGACAAGGGGTTCAGACCTATCTGCATCCTAAGACCCTGATTTTGAAGAACGGAAGCCAAGCTAAGCCTCTCTTCACTAGCTCATAGTTTCACAGACCCCTGCCGGGACCCCCACGTTCCCTGGGCCATGTGCGGGAAGACCAATCAGTATTGTCCATCACAGTGTTTGTAGTTTCCATCAATGGTGTCTTGTAATTATAAACTCACTGCAGAATAACTTTTTAACACAGAGTCTATTTATTTATTTATTTATTTATTAAATAAATATGTTTTAAAAATATATTTTATTGATTTTTCACCAAGAGGAAGGGAGAGAGAGAGAGAACTAGAAACATCTAGAGAACTAGAGAACTAGAGATATATTGACCAGCTGCCTCCTGCAACGCCCCCACTGGGGATGTGCCTGCAACCAATGTACATGCCCTTGACTGGAATTGAACCTGGGACCTTTTTTTTTTTTTTTTTAATCAATCTTTATTGTTCATATTATTACAAAGGTTCCTCATTTCTTCCCCCCTCCACCAGGTTCCCACCCCACCCTCTGCCCCCTCCCCATCCCCCATTGTCCTCATCCATAGGTGCACAGTTTATGTTCAGTCTCTTCTTCCCTCCCTTTCCCCAATAGTAAATCCCTTTTCAGATAGTAAATCAAATACTTAGCATTTTCTCATATCAATAATACCTCCACATGCCCAATGATACACTTCACACAAAAGACATTTCCCAATAGGTCAACTAGCTTCATCCAGGCCCCACCCAAGGCACTCACAGATCAACACCCCAGCCCTATACTAACTCAACACATCCAGATCTAAGCCTTCATCACTTGATTCAGCAGACCCTCAAGTTCCCGCGAAAGTTTCCAGCCATGTCTGAGAGGCAGCCGTGGGGCAGGGGCAGGCGAGGAGCGAGCTGTTCCGGGCCTGGCTGCTCAGGGCCTGGCCTCTGTTGCTCTGGTTCGTTCCACAACCAGCTGCTCCGGGTCTGGTCACTGCTGCTCCCAACCTAGTTGCTCTGGACTTGGCTGCTGCTGCTCCGGGCCTGGCCGCTCCCAGCCTGGCAGCCGCTGCCCCGGGCCTGGCCGCACCCGACCCGCCTGCTCCCCCGGGCCTGGACGCCCCCAGCCTGGCAGCCGCTGCCCCGGGCCTGGCCGCACCCGACCCGGCTGCTCCCCCGGGCCTGGCCGCCCCCAGCCTGGCAGCCGCTGCCCTGGGCCTGGCCGCACCCGACCCGGCTGCTCCCCCGGGCCTGGCCGCCCCCAGCCTGGCAGCCGCTGCTCCGGGCTTGGCCACACCCGACCCGGCTGCTCCGGGCCTGGCCGCTCCCAGCCTGGCAGCTGCTGCTCCGGGCCTGGCCGCACCAGACCTGGCTGCTCTGGGCCTGGCTGCCCTGGGCCCGGCCACTCCGAGCCTGGGCACTCCCAGCCTGGATGCTCTGGGCTTGGCTACTGCTGTTCTGGGTCTGGCTGTTCCCACCCCGGCTGCTCTGGGCCTGGCTTCTCCGGGCCCGGCCACTCCGGGTCTGGGTGTTCCTGGACTGGCCACCCTGGGCTTGGCCGCCTCCGCCTCAGGCCTGGCTGCCACTGCCCCAGGTCTGGCTGCTCCAGTGCTGGCTGTTGATGCTCTGGTTCTGGCTGCTGCTGCTCTGGGGCCTGGCCGTTGCTGCTCCGGGCCTGGCTGCCACTGCCTTGTGCCTGGCCACTCTAGGCCTGGCCGCCGCTGTTCCAACATTCTGTCCTTTTTTTTTTTTTTCTTTTTTCTTTTTAAAATGCATTTATGTTGCAGTGTTGGCTGGTGAGTTGAGTTCTGACTTAGTCTTTGATTTTTCAAGAACTTTTTTGTATTCTTTCTATCTTGTAATTTTACTATCTTTTGCTCTCACTTGATTTCTTCACATTGAGAACTTCTTTGGTTTCTTCCTCCTTGTCCTGGGAGCTCAGCAGGTTGGCCTGTGGCACCCCTTTGTTCTCCGCGGGCTCCTGCGCTGCTTCAGCCTGTTGCCGGGACGGCGCCGCCCAGGAAGCAGCCCCGGCCTTGGCTCCATTGCCCGAGCTCAGTGGTCAAAGGCTCAGGGGCACCCACGCCCCCAGGGGCCCCGTGGCCCGCCTCCTTGCTGGTGCCCGGTTGGCTGGAGTCCAGCAGGGGCTTCCGCTCCCCTCCGCGTTCCCCCAGCCTGGAGCTTTTTTTCTCCTTCCCGCTAGGGGAGTCCAGCATCAGAGTCAATAGACTGTCCTCTGCGCGCAGTTTGCGCGAGTCCCGGGGGCCCGGCCTTTCGCCGCTCTCCCCGGACTCCACCTCACAGCCCCGTCTCCCTCTGCCTGAGCCTGGGTCCCCAGGGATTGGCCCAGAACTGGGGTTTGGAGCAGTCCGGACTGAGGCCCAGCGCCGCCGGAGGCCTTGTTTCTTCCGGCTAGGGTAACCCAGCATCAGAGCCAACATTCAGTCCTCTGCGCGCATTGCGCGCGACTCCCGGGGCCCCGCTTTTCGCCGTTTTTCCGCCTCATGGCCCCGTCTCCTCCTGCCGGGGCCTGGGTCCCCAGGGTCTGGCCCATAACTGGGGCTCAGTGCTGCCGGTTCGGGGGAGGGGGGAGGGCTCAGCAGTGCCGGTTCGGGGGTTCAGCCCAGGCTGGGGGTTTTATTTCCTTCCTGCTAGGGAAGGAAAGGCAGCTCCCTGCCCTCTCCTCCTCTCCGGCTGCGACCTCTCCGTGCGTGCGGGCGGGCGCGCGCGCAGCATGTCTCTGTACCTTAGGCTTTTTTTCAGCTCCTCTGATTTTCCTTCTGGTTTTCTCTTTCCTTCTTGTTGTAGAATTTTCAGTCAGTCGACTACCTGTAGCTCTGGGCAATGTCCACTCTACATTTTAGTTGTATTCCATTGAAATTGTTGTGTGCTGCCGCGGTTAGATGTCTACCCGAGCAGCCATCTTGGATCCTCCTCAATAGCACTGTCTTTAAATGAGTACTTCTTGTCAAGGTAGCCTGCTCGCAGTGCATTTGCAATGCAACTGTCAGTGATTTTCTCCCATGAATTCTTCACCCAAGTCACAACTTCTTGCAGTTTAGGTTTCACAAAGTTTCCATGCTGATTTCTCTCCATTCTATTTTCAATGTAGTCATTAATTTCCATGCACAAATTGTCTTTGAATGGCTTGCTTATTGCAATATCAAGAGTCTGGAGATAGGCCGTCATTCCTGCGGGAATCATTATCTGATCTATTTTTCTTTCGTGAAGAAATGTCTTCATGTCTTTAGCATGGTGAGTGCTGGCTGCATCCCAGACTAGCAGACCTCTTTGGCTCCCTCACATAACAAGCAGCAGCATTAAATGGACCCACTTCCTTATAACTGCTTGTGTGGCCCAGGCTTTTTCAGTTTCAAGAATAAAAACGCCTAAAACACGTTCAATCTTTTCCTTCTTGCCCTTAGAAATGATTAAAGGTGGGATTTTAGTGCCACCCAGACGAATTGCCAAAATACAGGAAACACGTGCACTTTCGTAAGCAGTGGAGGGAATGTACACTAAGGAGGCACCCTGCTGTTCAATTGTTGTTTGAGATGATTGGCCCATAAACACTGCAGTTTCATCCATAGCAATCATGTTGGAAAGATTGTATTTAGAGAAGTCAGCATCATCAATAAAGGACTTGAATACAAGTGCTCGCTTAATAACTTGAGTACTCATCTTCCAACCTAAACAATGTTGTAGATCTTCTTGAAGACAATTCACTTCGCTGAAGGAAATTATCCGGCCAGTGTTGTGATGCTTTGAAGTCTTCGGGGGCTATGTCAAACTGTGGTGCCATTGCAAGGGCAAATTCTTGAATCTGAGCCCTATTCACAACCAAAGCCTTTGCTCTCCTGTCAACAACCCATTCACAGATCAGGTCTTCCAGCTCAGAAAATAATGGTTGTTGATCCACACTTGCACTTTTTAAAAAATATATATATATATTTTATTGTTTTTTTACAGAGAGGAAGGGAGAGAGCTAGAGAGCTAGAAATATCGATGAGAGAGAAACATCGACCAGCTGCTTCTTGCACACCCACTACCAGGGATGTGTCTGCAACCAAGGTACATGCCCTTGACCGGAATCGAACCTGGGACCTTTCAATCCACAGACCGACGCTCTACCACTGAGCCAAACCGGTTTCGGCCACACTTGTGCTTTTTAGCATTTCTCTTGTCCACTTGTTCAATGAGGTTACCATACTCTGCTCGCCATTTTCGGACTAATTGGATACTCAACATCTTCTCTTTGCAGAAAGCAGTAAGATTTTGGCCCCAAGAATCTTCCACGATTCCTTTCTTGTACTCCACGGAGTAGTTTTTTCTTTTTGCGCTCATTTCTAGGGGTAAAAAAAAGGAATTGGGGTATCAAGGTGGGGGGAGGGGGATCACTTAAAATGACACAGGGGGTATCAGAGGGGGGAATCAAAATGGCGCAGGAGAATCAGAGGGGGGATTACCATTTTAGTAACCCCTTTTGATCCTCCTGTGTCATTTTGATTGCCCCCTCTGATCCTCCTG